TCTCCTCCGCAGCAGCTGTCACCTGGTCGCGAATGTGGTGCCACAGGTCGCCCACTGGGGCTATACAGTCCACATCACCACACAGGCGTGCAGCCATCGCCTTCTCCAGCTCAGCACGTTTCGCCACAGTGCCGAGGGAGAGAATGTTAAATTTACGCCGATTCACGGCGGGAGTGCAATACATCGATTTACGAAAATATATGTACAGTTTGGTCCGAACCAACTTGTGATCAGTGCCACACTCAGCTCCACGCAGTACACGTGTCATGCGCACTTCACGCATATCACGCTGACGTACGATGACATAGTCGAGCAGGTGAGCGTGACCACTCCGTGGGTGCGTCCAAGTTGCTATATCACTCGCACTCAGTGCAAACCGAGTGTTCGTGATCGTCAGGCCGTGAGTGGCACACAGTGAGAGCAGCCTATCACCGTTCGCATTCGCTGAACCAATGCCATGCTCACCGATAACATCTGTCCACGCTGATGCATCACGCCCAACGCGCGCATTGAAATCACCCAGCAGAAATAGTCGGTCGCTCCTCGGCACAGACCGTATCACGGAGGATAGCTCAGTGTAGAACTGATCACGCGTGTCATCAGGATAACACATGGTCGGACCGTACGTGCTTATAAAAGTAGCAAACTTACCTCTTCCGAGTCGCAGGCGAACAGTCATCAGTCGCGCGCTGATGCCCGTTGGTTCACCCACCAGCTGGCCATTCAGGCGATCGGATATTGCAAATCCGACCCCATGTTCACGTGGTGCTGAGGCGGCGTTCCCCACCCAGTAGAATGTATAGCCAGCACCTGCTTCATGTAACTTACCTTGCTCAGCGAGCCGAGTTTCACTGAGCGCCGCAATATCGATGTGGTAGCGCGCCAGCTCCATTGCGACCAGTGCAGTGCGTCGCTCCGGGCGCTCGCTCGAGTTCCGGTCCAGTAGTGTGCGCACGTTCCAGCACCCGATGCTGAGTGCTTTGCGCGCAGGCATACGATTGCATTGGTGGGCAATCGCAGGCGAGGTGGTCGTTGTCCTTCGGAGGTTTGCTTGAGGGACTCCACCCGGAGCCTTTGGCTCAATAGCCTGACCCACAAGGCAGTGGGTGGTTTGGAGGTTTGCTTGAGGGACACCACCCGGAGCCTTTGGCTCAATAGCCTGACCCACAAGGCAGTGGGTGGTTTGGAGGTTTGCTTGAGGGACTCCGCCCGGAGCCTTTGGCTCAATAGCCTGACCCACAAGGCAGTGGAGAGCAGATCCAGCTCGGGAATGTGATTGCAGAGACAGATTGGGATCTGCTTGACGGTCGTCACACGCAGCCTTTGAGGTTCTGGAACAATTATCATATGTTTTGCGACCGTAATTGGATACGCACCTGCGACCACGGCCAGACGCAGGTGGGTTTTTGGCGGGTTTGCACCAATTTGACCAGGGGCTGCCTGGCTTGAGGCGGGCAGTAGCAAACCATTGAACACCCAGAGGTGTCCTCCCACCGTCAGAGACAATGCGTGGCACTCGTGCTCTACGCCAATCGAGCATTGAGAATATCACCCGTAACCTGTTGTCTCCCATGGCTAGGTTTTACGGGAAGTGGGCCATCGACCACTTCCTAACCTCCGGAGAGGATGGACTAGGATACTGCCAGGGCGCCCAATCCTGACAGGAGAACGACTCGGGTCCTCAGCCAAAGCCTTCGATTAAATGAACACCCGAAAGGCAGCGGGTCTAGCACATGGTCAGTTAGCTGACTCATGCGGATTCGTGTCCTGGATCTTAGCAGGGAGAAGGGCGAAACCTAACTCCCACCCAGCGGTCGCCACGTGGAGGCGCCCAGGACATGAGACTATGGCGCAACAGTAGCAGCAGTGGGTAGACCATCTGTCAGGATCTAGCCACCACCAGCCTCAGCGCACCATAGGCTCTCCCGCCATATATATATATATATATATATATATATATATATATATACATATATACATATATATATATTCTTAGTCTTAGTGAAGACGATGTGCAATCAGAGGCGGTGTTAGAAAAAGGCTTTCTGGAGCCGAATTATGGATACGAGCCCGATTATGGACAATGGTTTATTAAGGGTAAAAAAGCATCGCTTAACAAGTCCCGTGGGACGGAAATTATTGCGAAAATAAATTGCATAATAAAGTGAAAAGCGTTGTGGTGGACTCACCATAGACTTATGTGAAATATCAGAGATGTTCGCGTTTTAAACGTATACATCCATAAATCCAATGGTTGGGCGTTTGGCAAGAAACCGTTTGATTGCGTTTTGTAGCCCCTGGCTAACAAGTTATAAAATGAAATGTAAGTGAGACCATGCATCGTCAACACGTTTTTTAAATATCGCCAGATTGGGAGCAGAGACGACATAATTAGGGAGGGCATTCCAAGGCTCACACATGCGGAGAGAAAAGAAATTTCTATGGCATTCAAGCCGGCTATAATGAATTGTCAGTTTCAGAGGGTGACCTCTTTGTTTAGTGTTGGGGTTCAATTCCAGCAGCGGACGGCAAATGTGGTTTGGGTTCTTCAGAATCTGGTAAACCATTATGAGATCCCCTCGAAAAAGCCGATATCGACTGCTGTACATTCTTAAAGATTTCAGTCTAAGCTGATAGGGCAGATGAAAGAGGCCCCTGACGTTCTTGGTTGCCCGGTCGTTGAGGAGTCTCGAGAGTAACGAGATCTTGTTTTTGCCACGGTTGCCACGCCTGAATAGCATATTCCACGTGAGGTCGCAAGTAGGCGTTAAGCATTTGGGGAAATATTGATGGTTCAAACCGACCGAAGGCTCTGCGAATAAGGCCGAAGTGTTGATTTCCGGTTCTCCTCGCCTTCTCTGCTTGTTTTGAACAACCGAGATCTTCCTGCACCAATACACCCAGGTCACGCTCCTGAGAAACCTTCACCAAGGTGTGGTCTCCAATGTTGTAAGCGCTCACCGGCTGGTGACGCAGATGCATCACTTTGCACTTAGTCATGTTCAATTGAAGCTTGTTTCTCTTTGACCATTCGTAAATGCAATCTAGGTCATGTTGGAGCAGATCCTGATCTGCCTTGTTACTGATCGCCCACCATATCTTAACGTCATCGGCGAAAAGCAGGAAGTTTGAGGAGATAACTCTTGCCAGGTCGTTGATAAACACCAGGAATAAGCGCGGTCCCAGCACTGAGCCTTGCGGGACACCACATTCCACCTCAATTGGGTTTGAAAGTGATCCCCTAACACGTACTTGGAGCTTTCGTTGGTAAAGGAAGTTGCCAATCTAACCAAGTACAGGATCTCCGAAGCCGTTGAAGTAGGATGCGGTGATCAAGGCGGTCGAAAGCTTTGGAGAAGTCCAGATAGATGACGTCGACTCCGACCCCATCATCCACCACTTCCATCCAACTACCTCGTGCAATAAGTAGGTTGGTGGTGCATGACCGGTGTTGACGAAGCCATGCTGTTCCGCTACCAAGATTTTGCATTTTTCCAGGTAGTCCATTAAAGCCTCAGCGACGACTGCTTCCATCACCTTCGCGAGCACAGGGAGGAGAGTCACTGGACGATAGTTTGCAGGATCGGAACGGCTACCTCCTTTAAAAATAGAGGTGATAATGCCACACTTCCACATAGTGGGGACTTGTTGTTCATCAAAGCACCTTTGAAAGAACTGTGACAGTGGTTCAGCTAGCTTGGTGGCCACAGCCTTCAGTGCCTTCGGGCGGATGTTGTCTGCTCCCGGAGAACTATGTTCACGCAGTGAGAGTAACTTCTTTAGCACAATTGATGGGTTAAAAATAACATTTGTAAACAAAGGTGTCGGTAATGAGCTTGATATTATGGGACAGGTAGATGAGCCATTGTGTCCTAAATATGAGATGCTTGTAGTTAGGGCTGATTGATCGGGTGTTCAAATGCTCTCAAAGCATGGCAGTGAAACGTCACCATGTTGGTTGCAAATACGGCATAATCGTCAATGGGATGGGTTAGTTGATAGAAGCAATAGACTGAATCTAACCGCGCTGTTGACTTCATAATCACGTTATGTCGCACAAAGCAACAGAAATCAGAGTTGAAAACAATTGGCTCCAAAAAGACTGGAAAGTAGCAATCAGAGGAGACAGGAGATATCAAGCCCTTCAAGTCAAGCGCATTCAGCCGCGCGGCGCGGAGTGGTTCGTAAGTTCCCCTCTATGCTTTGAGCGGTGAAGTAACGCAACAGTTTGCCTGAGGCGGTAATCGGTGTCGGAATTTAAGCAATTCATAAATGTCCAACGCGGACTTCAGATTTAGGGAGTGATCGCATATGGCGAAGCTGTAACATGCTGTAAACGCGCAAAAACCAGTGACGTGAATCCGCGCAAGATCCAGATCTAACTACGATGGAGCAACACAAAGATATATCGACTAACAGTACTTTAGTATCCACAGTGAGTCCTGAAATCGTCGAAATGGTATGAACGGCTAGAAATGGTGACACTTGACTACCCAAAACGATCGCACTTCTCTAAATGTTGTCATCTGCCGTATTGAAACAGCAATCCAGTATGCAGCGCATGAGTAACAAACGAGGATGCCAGATGACTCTTCCACATCTATGTCAGCAGCAGTACTCTGGCACATTGTACCGACAATTCGTTGTCACGCGACTACCATCGATCGAACGCGGAGTAAGGATACTACGGAATCGTTCGCACCTATGCAGATTAGAAACGGTCACATGTGGACTCCAGAGTGGAACACTGCTATCAATCGTCCACTGAGTAACACTCACCCACTCGGGATCGAAGCGTCCTTGAGCTGATGGACAGCGCGAGACAAACATGTAATTGTGGCGAGGTTCCAAAGAAAAGCATCAGAAGTCGGTTGAAATCAAACATGTTTTTCGTACAGTGCAGTGCTATCAGAAGCCTGGAGAAGTTGTATACTACGGAACATTCAGTTTAGACAATATAAAGCGAAGAAAACAACTAATATGCAGCCAAGCAATGTTCTTCAATTTGGTGTGTACCAAGTCAGGATGTCGCACCCACGGAAACGGAAACCGGGCGGAGTTTGGACTAACGGACTACAGAAACCATCGATGGGTTCGGGACTTGGATCAGCGAGACACCGTTCGGCAGCTTCATCCACTTCTTTGCGAATTTCCTTCTCTAAATTCTGAAAAACAAAGTGGTACATACAATGAAAACAATATTATGTATACTTTTCACATGTTTAAGGCGGTGTTCACCGAAGTACAGGTCAGGTTTACAATTTTATACGTTTCACCTGAAAGGGAAGACAAAATGTCAGCGACTCAAACGTTAAGAACTTCAAGCCGAGGTTGGTCGAATGTCACCACCAGAAGCTTAACGAGCGGTATAAGTAACATGATGGATGATGAAAGTTAACGGTAAGTGCAGTTTTCATAGTCATCAACAGTAATGCATCAGTGCTTTCTTCTGGTACTCAATTTCAAAAACATCGTAGTGACACTGCCAATATTGATTATTGAGGAGGGAGAAGGTGGGCCTTGTCTACAATCTAAACCTTATAAACAAAACCCTAGTGGCAAGGTGCCCTAACGCTGATGCAAAGTCAAATGCGATAGTGATATTAGCAATATTCACGTTTGACGAATTCGGTGGGCTGTAGATATAGACGAGCAGTATGCAGGAGGAGGCACCTGCAACTGACATCATCACCATCATCATACACGTTAGCTAGAGGTGGGAAACACCTCAGCTACTGTGCCGCAATACAAAGAAAAAAGGAGAGAAAAATCAACTGGTGAAAGCTGGCTGAGCTACCGGTAACGGATGGACATCGTTCCGGTAAGCTACCAGCCGGCTGCTGTGCACCCACAAAAAAATATTATGCAAAATTATATAAGGCTAAGTAATGAGATCGTGGTTGGAGGGGGAGGCTAAAAGGGATGGGGTGGGATAAAGAAACTCACAGCACGAACGCCACTGAGGTCGGCTCCTAGCCATATCAGCAAGTGTGTCCAACCAAACGTGTTCATCGTCTTTCGGACCCCAACCAGGGAGCCGAGACGCTCCAACCGAGGCCAGCTTCGAAGTGAGGGTCTTCATTCCTCTGGACCAAGTCATCGCTTGGCCACCCCTCCTCTTCTTCCATCCACACCCCCGGCGCGCAAACAACACACGTCGCGGAAGTCGGTGGGCTGGCATGCGTAACACGTGGCCGAGCCATCGGAACCTGATGCGTGAAATAACGGTGCTGAGCGGTTCAGTTCCTTTTCCTGTGCCATAAAAAAGGCGTCGAACACGCTCGTTACTCACGCGGTGTTCCCAACAAACGTGAGCTAAATTACGAAGGCACCGGTGATCGAACGTAACTAGCCTCTTCAGGTCCGCTGCTTTAAGCGGCCAGGTTTCACAACCGTACAATAGGGTCGAACGTACTGCTGCATTGTACACTCTACCCTTCAGGGCAAGAGTGATGTCGCGCCGGCGCCATAAGTGGCGAAGATTAGCAAAAGCGCCCCAAGCTTTTGCTATACGATTCGTAATCTCACCTTCAATCCCACAGGCGCTGATACAACTTCCCAGGTAGTTGAATTTTTGAACGACTTCTAGCTGATCCCCACCAAGGGTCAGCGTAGGAGGCGGTCCAGACCAATGTTGGAGAAACGCTTTGCACTTCGAGGGTGCGAAGCAAAGCCCGAAGTGACGGACAGCTAGTGCTATCCTGTCCAGTGCCGCCTGACACGTTTGTGAGCTGTCACAGATGAGGGCAATATCATCAGCATACTCTAAATCAAGAAGTCGTTCTCCTGGGAGTAGCTCCACACCTTCCAAGTCGTGTCCTGTGAACGCGATTTCCATGACTTCGTCAACAGCGAAGTTGAAGAGGAAAGGTGACAGCGGGCATCCTTGTCTAACGGCGCTGGACATATTAAAGGGCGACGACAACTTGCCGTAAGCCCTCACTCTGCCCGAGCTACGAGCGTATAATGCTCGGATAATATTCACATATTTCTCAGGTACACCTTTCCTGAGTAGACAGTCCCAAAGTGCATGTCTATCCACCGAATCGAATGCACCTTTGATATCGAGGAACACGACAACGACCTGCAACTGACAGCCAAATGGATTCAGGGACATGTTTCAGTTGTGAGTTGTCTATACTTTCAGCGGTAAAAGTTTTGTGTACGTAGATGATACACTCTCTACCTTTTCTGGTGCAGCGATGTTTTCGAAAAAGGTGATAGTTTGGAATCATCAGAGTAGAGTCAAGTGTATCAGAGGAACACCTGGTTTCAGTGGCAGGGATAGCTGGTGAATGAACTGTGCAAGTGTGTTTAAAAAAACGAAGTTCGTTGATCATGTATTTGGCATTAAACCGAATTACTGTGAATATACTATGTATTGGGGAATTGAGGCTGACTGTTGCATGATCGCCTAAGTGTTTTGGTTCGAGCATGGTACACAGGGTAGGTAAGTGCGACAGTGGTGCGCCTGAATTAGCCACTAAAAAGTTTGGGGTATGGACAGCGTGTCACGTGTGAATGGCGAGTCCGCTGGGGGCCTGAGGGAACCGAGGCATCATGCTTAGACTGCAATTGGCTTTGCAGTGGGCTAGCCTTGCCATAATGACAAAGTGTATGAAGTGTACCAGAACCAGAGAGCCGAGACAAAGGGGAAAGATAATGTTTCCTGTGGGGAAATACACAAGTCAGAATTAAGTTGCTCTCAATCCACACAACCAAACTGGTTACCGGAGGATTTACACAACTGTGCGTTTTATCATTCACAGTCGTGGGCAACAACGACCACATATCTGAAGTTGTCACCGGTTACATGCATAAGGCAGACACAAAAAGCGGAGCGCTGACATTTGTTGTGTTTTCTACATGCAGTTGCTACTAATCGTGGATTATTGTACACAGTTCGATGTATCTTTGTGTGATCCATCCACGGCTGGAAAGAGTTTAGGATACCTAACGGCTTTTGTGAAAACTGTGCAAACCTGTTAAGCTAGGAACACAGTTAAAGTCAATCGCACAAATTTATCACTTTGAAACTGACAAGGCTAATTGCAGTTTCAACTGCAAGATCACTCTGAGGGCTATCTAATAATCCCACATGCAACTCATTTGGCCGCTGTACAAGGCAGAGATTAGAAAAATTGCTACTATCCATAACGGTCACTGCTGCCTTGTTTGTAAATGAAATGAGACCAAGTTCCCATGAAACATCCGAATCTCGCATTCACCGCCAACAGATGAATAAGCACCCGTGTACGGCTCATGTGCTCACCGGTGGCTTATCTCGTCGTCCACACTGGACTTCATGACTCGACAGTACGCGTGATCAGAAAACACCGCCGGACCCACACCTGTCGGGCAATCGCAAAACCGACATCTGCCAGATCATCGTGCCTGAATACGCTACCCTAGCCCCAGTGAGTTGCGCTTAACGGAGTATAGTTAAACTTTCCTCACCCACATTGTTCCGTCAAATGCAAACACCTAACTTGGGGCAAAGGCAACTGACCAACCAAACAGATCGCGTGAAAATCCATTGGGTGTGAACGAATTCCATAGCAGAAGACGGATATTATGAAAAACGATGAGCACTTCGCCTGCACCCCCTAATTCCTCTGCTTCGACTAAATATCCCTGTTTCGGCCCTATCGCTTTATACACTCTATACTCAATGTTGCATATTCACTCTCATAATTAATAAGTATCTTTACAAGTTAATTCATGTTATAGCCACATCCCGCATACTGTCAACACTATCCCTTACCATTTTATAAGTATCAACTCTAAAGCTAATGCGGTACTACGACTCCAACAAGACCTAACCGTACTCGATAAACAAAGGGTTGTGTATCCTCCATTTCGCGAATAAAAGAAGAACAAATAAAACAAAAATGAAAACACAGGACAAGAGCAATGGGAACAATGTCTCTATAAGTGTCAGTCCCAATAAAAAACTGGATGTTTAGAGTAGTTCTCTTGAGTTGCAACTATCTGAAGTGAAACTGACACTGGCCGGCATCGAGCCCTTTAAGGACTATCTATTTGCATTAGAATACATCAACAACCCATCGGAGAAGCCTGATCCAGTCCAAATGAAAAAAGTGGGACAACTTATTGCCTGTGTGGCATCCGAAGGTTGAAAAACGCTACAGTTCTTAATATTTCTGATGCAACATTGTTGAATGCTTGAAACATGTCTGAGGTCGAGTGCAAGTGTATACGTCTGAGAAAACAAACACCGAAGCGGTGTTGTTCGATAATTGGCAAATGTTCCAGTGAAGAATCTGTGGTGATTAAGCAGGATCTAACATCCCTGCAAAAGTCTTTGCTTGTGTCCGCATCACGAACGCTAAAAGTAGAGACACCGTGCAATCCTGATTCGAGAATAAAGACACGGGAAGCAAACCAAACCGATGGAGATACCAGCTGCGTGGACTAGGACTTTGACAACAAGCATACTGAGGTGGCGACTTCGAGTGTCCATACGCCTGATCCCAGCAGAACATCGGTAAACAAAAGAACTATCAGAAGTGCTTCGACCAGTGATATCAACGGACCAAATGTCCCATACATAAGATCTACCCTAAGATCCCAGAGTGAGAAACAAACATTAATAAAGAGGCCGATTACCAGGAAAATGATCGACAATGCAACAAAAGGCACACCTCAGGCGAGTAACGAATTGTTGTCACCGACCGATGAAGCGACCAGGACGACGACGATGTTAACAAAGGATCTTCAAACATAAGCCCACTGAATACATATAAAGTTACCTCTGAAAAAGCCATCGCCATAGAACCGTTACTCATATCCACAAACTGGGTGAATCGAGAAAATTTTTTTCTCTTGGACACTCCTGTGTATCTCAAAGTAGCAAGAAGAAGAAAACGTTTTAACAGGTATTCCAAGTATTCTCGTCAGCTATTTAGATACAATCCGTGAAATTATCGCGTCGTGCACAGAACTAAGCAGAGTGCAAGGTTATTCACTTCGAAAAATACGAGCAATAACCTCACCAAGCTAAGGCGAGGTTGGCCCTGAGTTCAGTCAATTTGCACAAATTGGGCTTCAGCCGCCGAATAGCTGAAGCTACAGTAAACTAAAGCAATCGGGCATCCTTCTGCAGGGTAATCATTTTAAACGAGGGCGTTGGCAGGTAGTGCAT